TACGATTGCGATAGTTATTCGTGCTTGGTACTCTGGTGACCAAAAATACGATAGACTTCATTGGTTGATTTGGTATGCTTCAATCGCGTTATTTAATAAATACTCGCACTAGGCCTTCTTTTGCCTGGTCTCTTTGAAATAGTGGTCCTTATAAATAATGGGGTTTTATATGCGGTTTTTATAAGAGATGGTTACGTCTTTAGGTGGGTATTTTAAATATCAGATTTGATGCTGTGATAAGAGCTATGTTGGGATATTGTGTATGATATAGTTTGATAAAGGGTGTCTTTTCGAAAAACTTTTCTCAAAGTCTTAAAAGTATTTTAATTAGTACACTTATGACCGTAACCTCACCCCCTATTACATGGGACTGATAACATAAATAGTGAAAAGTGGGTGTTACATTGTACAATGGCATAATGTGCACCTCTGCCTACTCCTTCGGAGATAAAAGGCGTGATGTTATGTTATGTTACTTATGATCGTTTTCAGCAAGCTCTCAAAATTTAAGGAACCCCCAAGTATCTCTTAAGATAGGTGACATTCATCATCATTTTCACCAACCTGTGAGTGACAAGTGACGGGGGTGTAGTAAATTTTAGTTAAGATATAGTCGGATAGTAGGTGTCGGTGGAAACGGTTATTAAAAACTTAGGTATGTTGTAAGCATTCAAAATCATAATTTCAGTCTTAAACTTTACATTGATAATACTAAAGAGGCTTTGGAGACTTTGTCAAAAGTGTTTTCGAAGATACAACCTCCCAGGTCGTTTAAGATTTTGTATTGCGTAGTGGCGCCTAAAGAATGTGTTCGATCTGTTCCGCCTAGTATTGCAATGGCCTGGACTATACGTCCTTGCACTGAAGTCCGCTTTTTAGATGTTTTCAATACCGTAGAAGCAGTTGCTGTAATGTTTGTTTTTGTCACAACTTAAGTAGTTGCAGTACGTAGTCGTTTTGCCACGTAAGTATTACAGATTTCCATCGGTAGGTTAAAGTATTATTGGATTTTTCGACTTTTATGTGTCTAATAATAATATGGAGCATGTCATTAGGTAATATAATTTTTCTGATGACTGGTGAAATATTTCATATATCACCTTCGTTCTAAGTTGTGGGTACTTTAACGACGAAATAGGTGTGATGTTCTATGGATAGGTACCGTAAATATGTATCTACCATGCAGTTTTGTATCGGCCGTTTAGTAATTATATCTCAAAGCAATGACTTGGGATTATAGCTTACCTCGGTCTACGCTTTCGGAGTATAAAAATATTTGATTCATTTAGCATGTATAATAATAATAATATGTAGTTTGTTCATTGGTCAAAAAGACCATACGTTACCTACACTACGGTCATAATATCACAAGAGTTCTACAGTGTTACCATTACAATATTATGGTCCTGTTTACCCGACTGTGTCAAGAAGGGTTACGTTTTTGCATTTGTCTCAGCTTATTAGGTGTGTGCATGTTCTAACAAATATTTTATAATAGAATACATTTTTTGTAATAGGTAGTAGCAGTATGTAGTGGGTTTAAAAACGGCTTAGTAATACCCTAAGACGTACTTCAAGATTACGTTGCGTAGAAAAAAAAGAGGTAGTAATGAACGATGAAGCGGAACCATCAAGTGTAACGATCTTAGTAGAATAGATTTATCTTCTATTTTTTATAATTCTTTGTAAATAAGAGAAATTTGGAGACTGTTCTAAAGCTCATTTTTTGATGTGACAATTTTTAATAAAAAATTGAATTGTATAACTGTTACCTTCAAGGTTAGTTAATTTTAAGTATAGATTCGGAACATAAGTTCCAAATCTCTTGTCAGGGTATGTAGTGTCTATTTAGTTTTTCAGGTAAAGAACAATAAATACAGACATCTACCTACCCATAGACTACGAAGAATCAAAGTTTTGGAGTGAGGACCTACGTCACTCACATTTTGTACGTAGAAGTGACGTCATCGTCACATTACAAATTTTAATCAGTGTAATATAGATGTTAGAAGTAAGTTATCTGATATTTTTCAGGAATGTTAAAAAAATATGGCATCAACCCTATTACCGAAGTATTTTACTAAACATTTTAAATATGTATACATAGAATTAACTGTTTCAACGTTCTAAACTGTATCAATAGATTTTAAAGTTTTTATGTTGGAATGGCAACTAAGCTAGTTGTCAGTTATCAGCATGGAATGCTGACATTCAGTTGAATGTCGTTGGGTACTGATTGAATGGAAAACAACAATAAGAGAGGAATATAGAATTAAGGCTATGAAGTTGAAAAAAACATGAAATAGGTAGGTAAGTACTTATGTATCTTTAGGCCTGCACAGACGAGGGACTTTGACGGCTGTAGACAAAAATCTATTGAGAATTATCAGAATAGTCAACTCTGTTAATTTTTTAATTATTATTATTAGTGTTATTACATAGGAACGAATGTAACATACATGTCGTACCTCCGGTGCTATAACGTCACTTATGTATTGCGGGGGCCCGCGCGCAACTGAACAATGAAACGTTGTTTTTCCTAGTGCCGTCCAGATTAGCGCCAAAACCGTAACGACAGTAATGCCCTCACAATGTCAGTTTGCTTACTACACAAATGACGATAAATAACGCACCAAGTAAAGAGGTGAATTTGGAGTATTCTTCAGTTAAGGTTTGACAATTAAAAAACCGACTTCAAAACTATTATTAGTAGGTACTGATAGGTTACCCACCCACTGATAGGTAAGAAGTCGGTGCCAAGTTCCATACAAAATTATTCATTAAAACCTTGATAGGTACCGAATTCACAATTTTGTGGGCATTAAGTTATATCATTATGATATAAGCTTATGGCACCGACTTCTAACCTATCAGTGGGTGGGTAACCTATCAGTACTAACAATAGTTATTTTTTGCTTTTTAGTTTTTGGTTTTTTGAAGTCGGTTTTTTAAACGCAGTTTTTATTTTATTATTCTATCATTTTCAGTGTAAAGCTACATAATTATACCCGTTTTGTTACTTATAATCTACATAGGTGCAAAGTTCTAATCAATACAAATTATACAAGCCCAAACACAAGGTAGTTACACTATACCTACCGTTGAGGAGTTCCCTTAACAATTACACTTCTTCATCATCAGACCCTTAATGACAGCCTCACTCTATCCAGGTGTAAAGTCCTCATCAATACAAATTAATCAAGCCCAAACACAAGGTTAGTTACTGTATACCGTTGAGGAGTTCCCTTAACAATTACACTTCTTCATCATCAGACCCTTAATGACAGCCACACTCTATCTAGGTGTAAAGTTCTCATCAATACAAATTAATGAAGCCCAAACACAAGGTAGTTAATATAAACCGTTGAGGATTTCCCTCGACTGTCTGTCGGCTCTATCATCAGGTCGACTCCAGACCCTTATCAAATTGTAGTGTTTAAAAATCGTAATTGAAAAACATAATAGACGCATTACTCGCCCATAGAATTTTCGAAAGTTCCCCTCGGTTTCCCTAGGATCTCATCATCAGATCCTGACTTCATGGAAATGGGACCATCTCGGGAGTATACCCTTTCAAACAAAACAAGAATTTTGCAAATCGCTTCACGCATCTTAGAGTTATGCGCGTACATACATACAAGAAAAAAAAAAGCAACATACCGGCCGAACGTATAACCTCCTCCTTTTTTGAAGTCGGTTAAAAATTGCATAAGTGACGATATTGCACCGTAGGTGCGATGTGTGAAATCGATTTTTTTATACCGAGCTTGGACTATACGAGACAAGGAATCCTAGTTTAAAATCCGGCAACGACAAAATTGTATTATTTTATCTTAAATGCCTGAACGGTATTCCTATTTATGAAAAAGGTCCGATGAGGACTTAATCCCCCCACCTTTTTGAAGGAGGAAAATTACCGAATATCTCCTAGGTAAGACGAGAGACGAAATCAGTCTTACTGACTAAAAACCCATCCAACTCCTGCTTCGAGTCGGGAGTCTCTGTAATAGTTCCATAGTCCCTTCTCTGCGTAGGTCTTTTATATGACTGATTAAGCATGCCTATTCAAGATGACATAAGTAAGAAAATGTGTAAAGGAATCGTGGGCGCCGGCAGCAGCCGTAATTGCTGTAATTCTTAGATTTTAGGTAATTTTGTTAAAAAGGGACCTCCTTTTTTGATGTCAGTTGAAAAAGTAATGAAGGATAAAGGAAAGAATTTATTCTTGAAAGTAATTCTGGTCGCGCTCAAGCAAGCCAGGGATAATTTCAATTCAATGTTTTGTCACAATAATAGAAGTACAATTTAATAATTATTCAATGTCCAATTTTGATCACAATTTGTAGTTGTAAGTGTAAATAAAACGATACAAAATGCACGTCTTTCATTTCGACATTAAACCTGCATATAAGCGTATTACAGGATAAGATGGTTCATAGAAGTTTAATACATTCTGATAAGGTCGAAAATCGATTTAAAACTGCCTTGGATTTCTGTGGAGACATGGGCTGGTTTTGTTGCTCTCAATATAAAAAAATATCATTTGTTAACGCCCTATAACACTTAGGAGTGTGTGTTATGTAGTAATTTACTATTGAATATGCAAGTTCAACTAACAAAGTAAGAAAAGGTTCGAACTTCGAAGTTCGGATGGTGTAGTAAACAGAGGCGGAGTTACCTCTTGACTCTGTATATAAGACACAATAGACAATACATTGTCTCGCCTAGATCATGTAGACACGACGGGTTAAAACTTACAGAGCACTTCATAGGTATCCCTAATGTTGTAGCTCCTCCGTCCAGAGAGAACCTGCCACTCAATGACCATAAGGCTCGCGCGTCCGCTGTATTGGGGCCCTAGACACCTTTGTAGTTTGCTTTAGAGATAATACGGCTCTACCTACAAAGCAAGGCGAATAATAGTTGAACATATTATTAAATTTATACTAGGGTGGACTGCGAATCCATAGGTAAGTAAAGTAATAAATAAAACCAAAACATACAACTTCAGTTTTTATTTCATTAAAGAATTCTCAATATACACATATAGATGTTAATAATTACATTAAAATAATAAATAGTACACTTCCCTTAAGCATACGAGGAGTGCTTGCAGTGCTAGGAGCTTGACGTGTCGCAACGAACAACTTCTAAAAATGGCGGACTTTATGCTCACACAACGGAGCAACTTATTCATCGCCAATGCCCTGTCGCAGTATATGGAATTGGTTAACTCAAATCGCCCCCTACCTATGTTTTGAGAGAAAAAAATAATGGAAATGAATTTTGAATGAAAAATTGACCGAATTGTGATAAAGAAATTTCGACTTTACAAGGTCATCGTTTTTTTGGGTTAGATACGTTCAAATGATGATTTTAATGGCTGTGTTGTACCTATATTAAATTCGTAAAATATGCATAATTTTATAAAATCATCACTTGAACGCTGCCAAGTGTTGCTCAGTTCCGAATTTCTCAAGTTATCTGTCACTTAGTATAAAGAAGGGGTCATAAACGATCTCGATTTTATAAAAAAAAAAAAATCTGTAGGCTCGATTTATACTACCGCAGAGTCGAAACGCACCGAAGCGTCAAATTCTTCACAACTAAAGCGAAGCCGCACGAAAGCGCGTATTCGAGAGTAAACGCGCGCACTCTTTGACGAATAGTAGGTAATGGGCATTAACTGCATGTATTATATAGGCATTTATATTTTTGCACCAGTTTTTCGTCCGAATCCATTCGCTAGTGGGCGTGTGGAAACGTGAGAATACGCGCGCACCAATCAGCGTTGGTCACGCGCAGACGTGCGAATTACGAAGAATGCGCGCGTCTTTTTAAAGTCTTAGAAGCAATGCGTGCGTTACGCTGTTGGGTTAAGGTTGAATTTGTTATGTTCGGTTTTGAATAGACGCTTCGATGTGCTACGACTCTGCTCTAGTATAAATTGACCCTAAGACGGTAAAGAAAAAATATAATTGTTAAACTAAGTAATAAAATTAACAGAACTTTGTTTCAAATCAGCACTACTTCATAATCGTGAATCAATACCAAAAAATATACATAATCGAAATGTAACCAGTCGTTTAGGAGTTCAGTGACGCACACACAAGAAATACATATTATATCAAAAATACTTCTCTAACACTAATGCGTAATGAAAGGATCTAAAAAGAGAAATACATTTAATGGAGTTTACTAAGCCATTTTAGTCTATATTACAGTTGTTATATGACTCAAAATTGCTTGAAACCTACAGATTTAGTGCAAAGATAATATATTTAAGTCCTTTGTAAAAGTTGCTAAGCCATTTTCAATCTTAAATACTTGATATTGTGAGTAAGAATATTTTTTTTGCATTTTGGTAAAGGAGGCTATACACCCTAGGTTATGCATGATGGTTTTAGTGCATGCAAAGCGTATATGGCCTCCTTAAGAGGTGAAGATTTAAAACATCTAACATTTAGTTTATTATTTAATTTCACTTACAGGATATACATACATACATACATAACACGCGTTCAGTTCGTTTATATATCACATATTCAACATATAGTTTTAGGCTTCTATACAACAAGCTCTAATTCTATATACAATTTTTTTTAAGATGAAAATACTAAAATATGAATATAAAGAATATTATGCCAATATTTATTTTATTAGGAGTTGAACCCAAGACACTATGAACAAGCTAGTAAGGGACCATCCATAAATTACGTCACATCGTTAAGGGGTAGGGAGGGGGTCGACAAAGTGTTACATTGTGTGACAAGGGGGGAGAGAGGGATACTAAACGTTGTGACGTTACATTACAAAAACTATTAGAATCTGTGTAAAAACACGAACTTGAAACTATTCATATACGAGAACCTTCAAAACATAAAACTATATATGTGTATGTGTAAATATGAGGTACCAATTTTTATTTGGTATGTTCTTCAATAAAAATTTAATATGACTATGCCTGCAACTTGTCCCGGGTACGATTCCCGCGCGGAACAACTCTTTGTGTAATCCACAGATTGTTGTTTCGGGTCTTAGTGTCATGTATATGTGAACTTGTATATTTGTAAACGCACCCACGACACCGGAGACAATCCTAGTGTGGAGCAACAATAAAAAAATATATATTTTTGCATCGAATAATTTCTATAATGGTTTGCATATTGTGACATCACGCTAGGGAAGGGTGACACAAATGTACAGTCAAAGGTCAAAAGTCCACTGCCACCGTGAGTGATGTTCATACGGCAATGCGTAAGTAATTTAATATTAATGTGCATAAAAACGCGTGTGTACGCATAAACACACGCACGCGTACGCACACGGATAAAAATATACGTGTGCATGTGTGTGTATAAGCGCTGCAGCGCAACCGATAGTATTATTTTTTTTATGGCATAAGCCGGTAAACGAGCAGACGGATCACCTGATGGTAAGCAATCGGCGTCGCCCATGGACACCTGGAACACCAGAGGCGTTACAAGTGCGTTACCGGCCTTTTGGGGATTAGGTTAGTTTGAGGATCGTTGGGGATTCAGGAATTGGGGAGATTGGGGAAGGGGAGAGTAATTGGGCTTCCGGTAACCTCACTCATCCGACGAAACACAACGCAAGCGTTGTTTCACGTCGGTTTTCTGCTCGGCCGTGGTATCACTCCGGTCGAGCCGGCCCATTCGTACCGAAGCATGTCTCACCCACACTTACGGTGGCAGTGGACTATTGACCTTCGACCGTACGTTCAAGGACGGGGGAGGGGTAACATGAGAAATTCTTGTGACGTTATTTATGGATGACCACTAACCAAGTAAAAAGCCTCGTAGAATCATTTAATTATGATTTATCTTTTAAAATATCAGTTTTAAAATATAATCAAGATATCGGAAGGTGAGTAGCCTGCATAAGTAGACGAGGTCCAAACTTTTTGAAATGAAACAATGTAACTATTTTTACTTTTACTACAAGATTGCATTCTGACGCCATGCTAAGTACATTATCAAATCAATAAAGTATGACTATTTTAAGTAGGTATTTATTAAAAGATTGTATTAAGGAATCACCCCAATTGCTAAATTATACTTCATAAAAATGTAAAGGCCAACATTCCAACTATAAAATGGGAGGTCTATGTCTCAGTTACATACATAATTAAATAAATAAGTTAAGGTTTAGTGCAAAATGAACTCAATTTTTATAGAATTCTGGATTATATTTGAACTTTCGAAGAACATGCTGATCTACTAAAAGTATGACTCCATGTTTCAAACAATCTCTGCAACTACCTGAGTAGTTGACACATAAAACTATACCATAACTTGTATAACATAAGGCCCATTTTGCACTAACCCTAAACGTAATGCATCAACAACAATATACCTTACACTTCTTGCACCAAAACCATGACTTCAGGCTTCAAAAACACGTCTTTATTCGGACTATTATGAATTTGTTCAGCCACAGACGAGTGCCAAGCGAATGTGAGTATTGTCGCCGGTACTAATCGTAGGTCAATAAGGGTCTTATTAGCATCTTCTTCTAACGTCACCTTATGACCAGTTGGCATGCTTAGTACGAATGGAAGGTCATGTTCGAGGTTTTCTCGGACGAATTCGTGTATATCATTGTAGCGTTCGTAAACTGAAAATGTCCCCTGAAAAAATAAAAAGAAATTAAATTACTTTAGTAATGAGTGTTAGTGTTATGTCCTATTTCTATGGGCATGATGTTTTCTGTCTAACCTATTGAATACTATTTATGAGTATGTGACATTTATTTTAAGGGAGGTATATTTTATTACATCATAATGCGATTTTATGTTCGGTAAATAATTTTCTTCTAACTGTTGTTGCATATACGAATTAATTTGTAATGCTAAACTTTTAGACCAATTTTGATTGACAAAACCTCGTCACCTTGCAAAAATGACTGACACGCGTCATCTTTGACAGATGACAGTTCGAAATAAGGCAAAGGAAATCCGCTATTCAGCCTATGTACAAAATACAAAAAAGGTTCAAAGAAAAGTTTTATTACCTGTAACAGTATTCCATCTGGGAAGCGTACCCTTATTATGGCGAACTTGTATTTACGCATTTCCCTAATTTCGTCCTTTTCTCGCATAGCTTTAGTTCTGAGCATTTGACTCCTTTCTATAGCTTCTTGTCTGTGAACAAAAATAAAGATAATAAGAAGGAACACTGGCAGTATAGGCGACAACATCGTATTGGACACTGGCAGTATAGGCAAAAAAAGTAGGTAAAGTCAATTAAATCACAGAAAACCGACGTGAAACAACGCTTACGTTGTTTCGTCGTGTGAGTGAAGTTACCGGAGACCCAATTACCGTCTCCCCAGTCTCGCTAATACCCGAATACCCAACAATCCTCAAATCCTCAAAAGGCCGGTAACGCACTTGTGTTTCGGTTGGCCATGTGTGGCGTCGATTGCTTACCATCAGATGATTCGTCTACTTGTATACCGGCTTATCCTATAACAAAACTTAAGAACCTTATGATACCTACGTCCTACGTTTACAACCTTTGTAATGAAAAATATAACATAACA